AAGAAGATTAGGGAGTTGGAGAAGAAAGTAAAGGAGTATGAAAATTTTTTAGAAGTAAAAGGAGTTGATGTAGTTTACAAGATGATGATGAGTTATAAGAATAGTGTAGAAAAAAAAAAGAATCAATTAGATCATGTGCAGAAGAAATTTGATGTGTATAAAGTTTATCAAGAGGGGGAGAAGAAGAAATTAAAGGATAGAATAGGAGAGTTGGAAGATGAAATTTGTAGGATGCAATTAGAGTTGTTGTAAATATTTTGAAATTTTTAATAAAATTTTTAAACTAAAATTTGATCGAATTGAGTTTGTTTTAGTTTTTCAATAAGTTAGGTACTAATAAATTTTGCTTTGTAAAGTTGTCTCAAACCAAATTTTGTATAAATTTAGTATACTCGAAGAGAATACTTCCAAATTTTTGCAAACTTGGATTTGTTAAACTTTACTGTCAGTTTATTCCTTATTTTTTGAATAAACTTATTATTGAGTTGGTTTTTGGTCCTTAGTTCACTAAGGTAGTAAGCTATTTTCAACCTTTGCTTGTTAATACCTTTACATTTTCCAAGTTGTTTAATTTTTTGGATGATATTTTTGAAAGTTTTATAATCCTTGTGAGCTTCAAAAGGTGAAGTAAATTCGATATTATTATCAACTTCATGTTGTAAATTTTTTTTTGACTTTATCGATTATTGATAGTTCATTATTTTCATCAGAAGAGCTTTTATCAGAACTATTTTCAAAGTTTTCATTAGTGTCCAAATTTTGTTGTTCATTAGATACTTCATTTTGAGTAATTTTATTTTGTAAACTCAAGGACGTGTTTTCATTATTAGTTTCCAAATTATCCAAAGCTTCATTAGTATTTTCCATAAAGATGTCCCAATTATCTAAGAAATTTTGTAAAGGATCATAAATTTCATTAATATTTAGAACATTAATTTCATCCCAAAAATTACTCATGATGTGATAGTATAAATATTAAGATTAAAGAAAATTAGTTAGAAAAATAATAAAATTTTTTAA